AAAAAAAAAAAAGAATGGAATTTATGTACAATCTAGTAAGAGATACAGATAAATCAATATGAAATTATAATATGGCAACTATTCGAGACTCAGGGAAAGCTTCCCAGAGGTCAGACAGTAAAAGTTAAGACCTGAAGGGTAAGAAGGATTGGTCTGGTTGGATGTGGAACTGCAGAAACTTCCAAAGCAAAGAGAACAGCATGTGTGAAGGCCTATTGTTAAGAAATACCAGGCAAGACTCATTCAAGTAACTGAAAGCAGTTCTAACACATCTGGAGCAGGAAGAGAATCAAAGTGGAACCCTAAGAGGCCAGAATATTGTAAGCTGTTGCTTGGTGGTTTACCCGGAGACTCACTAAAGGACATGTATTCCTAGTCTGCAGTTTAATTGTAAACATACAATTGCATACACCCCTAAGACTTCCACACCATGAACTCTACCCCTACACATGAATGATTCCAAAATATTTATGTCTAGTCTAGAACTGTCTGGTGAGTGCCAGACCTATTTTTCTGATTGCCTATCATCCATCACCATCTGGTGTTCCAATGGCACCTAGAACTCAACATGTCCAATACTGAAACTTAATAAATATCCTTCCTCCATCCACCTCCAATTCCTATCTTTTTATACCACCCATTCAGATATCCAAGTCCAGAAACCTGAGGGAAGAGAAGAAAAACAACTAATAGTTATTAGTATATATATTGCTGGGTACATAAGAGGTATTTTCAGCCCAGCATGGTGCCTCACACTTGTAATCCCAGCACTTTCAGAGGCCAAGGCTGGAGGATCACTCGAGGCCAGGAGTTTGAGATCAGCTAGGGCAACACAGTGAGATCCCACCTCCACAAAAAATTTAAAAATCGGCCAGGCGTGGTGATGCGCACCTGTAGTGTCATCTACTTGAGAGGCTGAGGCAGAAGAATCGCTTGAGGCCAGGAATTTGAGGCTACTATGATAAGCTATAATCACGCCACTGCACTCCAGCCTGGGCAACAAAGCGAGATTCTGTCTCTTAAAAAAAAAAAAAAAAAGAGAGAGGTATTTTCATTTAATTCTCTAACAAAAATATAAAGGAAATAGGAAATATTAGGCCCATTTTACAGATGAGAAAACTGAAATTCAAAAAGGTTGAGTAACCCGCCAAAGTAAATGAATGACAGAAGTAGAATTCAAACCTAGAGTTTTAAGAAGTATACAGGTTAGTCTGGAGTCCACAGATAGAGAAACTAATTATGACGTATGGCAGAAAAAGCTAATCATCTACCCAATCTCTAGTCCTCCCTTTTAATTAACGGACTCTGATTTTTCTGGCTAGGCACATTCCTGTCCAGCTAAAGGATATACTTAAGTCTCTTTATGAGTGGACAGCTACTTCTTTGTCCCTTCCTCCACCCTGCTGCCTGGAACACGGATGTTTTAGCTAGAACTCCTGCAGTCATCCTGTACCCAGATATCAAGGGCCACATCCTAGGGATGACAGAGTAAGAAATGCAAAGAGGCTGGGCCCCTGATGACAGTGGAGCTGCCACACCAGCCTTGAATTGTCTACCTCAGGACTTCCTTTACATGAGAACAAACTAATAACATGGTTAAGCTATGATTTTTCAGGTCTCTGTTACTCATAACCAAACCTAATCCTAAGCGACAGGAAAGACCTGGTAAG